TCATTGCTCAACACCCACTTACGAGTGAGAACACAATGTAACACACCTTCCTTACACCTTATACAAAAATGAACTCCAGATGGATTAAAGATTTAAACATAAGACCTAACACCATAAAGACCCTAGAAGAAAATCTAGGCAATACCATTCAGGACATAGGCATGGGCAAGGACTTTCTACTTGATTCTTTTATGAAAACAGCACTGGGTATCCCTAGGGGAGGCTGCCAAGCTGCTTAAGTGAGATCAAAGGTTCCAGGAGCATGTGCTCTTCAGAACGCAGGTTTCTCGAAGAAAAGGGAGGAAATTCTGTGGTTGGAGAGTTCGGGAGGTGGGGCTACTGGTCTGTTCCTGTAGGAAATGTACAGTGTTCACACACTACCACAGTGGACAGCCTGCAGCTAGGAGCTCTGCTAACTTTTTTAAATAAAATAAAAATGCAGGGGTGGGGGAGGTATGGGAGAGTTCCCTGATCTGGAGAAAAGTAACCACTCCCTAAATAAATGGCCAGAGCAGCACCCCATTAGAAATCCTGTCCTTCTGCTACCGCTTGGGGAGGAAGCAGACACAGGAGAATGCACATCGCATGGCATCTGGGGAGACTGCAGCCCCTCTCCAGGGAGTCCCTGGTCTTCAGGATGAAAATTGCCTACTTGAGACCAATAGGCAGCTGGGGAAGCCCTAACTCCCATGCTTGATTCAGCCCTGACTGGGAGAGCTTTCCACAAAGCTTCATTCAGAAGCTTGGTCTGGCGGTGAGGATGGGCCTGTGTGAGCTCTCCGTTGGTGACCAGCTCTTCTCAGTTGACCAGGACTCTTCCAGGGTTGGCACTGAAAGTCCTGAATTCCAGGAATCCCCTCAGACCTGGGTGAGCCTGGACATTTGGCCACCTTAGCTCTCTTAGAAAAAAGACAAAGCATTCAATCCAATCTAATTTTGAAAAGAAAATAAGAACTAGAGGTCTGTCCACAGGAGTTGCAAAAGATCGCCTTTAACCTGGGTAATTCACCCTCTGCTTATTTTTGTTGTCTTTTCATCTGTTTCCTGGTAGTAAATCTCAGAGAAGAAAATGTACTGTGGGGTTGCCTGGGGCTGGGTGGGGCGTGGTAGCTGGGGACGGCTGGCTCAGAAGCCAGGGAAATCTCTGAAGGTAGAGTGAAGCTGGCTGCACCCTGGGGCCTGTGGAAAGAAAGAGCAGGCCAGCTGGTCTGGGCCCTAGGTGCCCCCCTTCCCCAGAAGCTGCTCAGCCCTGCCCTCCTAGGGCCTTTCCCTCCTCCCTTCGCTTCAAACCTGCTTCCCCACAGTGCACTGGAGCAGATTAGTCCATGCTTTGCACTGTTTCATTTTGGAGAGGGAGCAAGGCTCTGGGAAAAACACTAAAACATGTTCTTGGCTCTTTTCACGCCACACTTCTTTTCCTTGCTTCTTGTCTTCTTGCATCCTTGCCTGCTATCATTTTTATTTTTCTTTCTTTTCTAGGACTCGTTAAGTCCCACTACTGTCAAGCCCAAGTGTCACTACCGCCCCCTTGTGTTTTCTTGACGGAAGAACGCAGCCCCAGGGCTGCCCACACACCTAGAGAGAACTGTAGGGCTGGAAAGGTGGGATACCTCTTCCTACCCATCATAAAGGTCACAGCTGACACTCCTATAGGAAAAGACAGGTTAACAGGAGGAAAGCATAACAAATTTACTTTAATCAGAGTTTTACATAACACAAGAGCCTGCAGGAATAAAGACCCAATGACTCAGGATAAACCATCTGTTTGTATGCTTAGGTTCCATGAAGAATAGACAGCTGTGTTGAAATGTGATTGGACAAGGGGTATGGTCTAATGGTGATAGATCGAGGCAGGGAGACCCAGCGAGTTCTCTCCAGATTCTTTTTTGGCCTCTCTATGCAACATTTCTCCTCCTGGGTATGGGGCAGGATCCTTCTGAAAAGAGAAAAGGGAGAAAGGAAAGAGTGACTTTTTCAGGCTTTATGGCTTACTTTGGGGGAGAAGAGTACTAGTTTTATGAGCCACCTTGGAGGAGAGGAATTCTGGTTTCTATAACTTGCTTTGGGAGACAGAGGACAGGAGAAGGGCAGAGAGGGAGACTCCTTCTGAGGCCACTTCTGAGGTCTTCTGATCTCCTTTAGTTTAAAGCACTCAGTGTGCCAAAGCTCCATACTTTGGGGTGATGTTTTTTGGAGCCTCAACAGAACCAAAGACTGGATGTACGCACAGCTGTGAATAGATGGAATGCCAATTGATTAAATAGGGTTGGCAGGCCAGGCATGGTGGCTCGTGCTGCCTGTAATCCCAGCACTTGGGGAGGCTGAGGCAGGAGGACTGCTTGAGCTCAGTAGTTCAAGACCAGCCTGGGTAACACAGTGAGACCCATCTCTACAAAAAAATAAAATAGTAGCCAGGCATAGTGGCATGCTCCTGAAGTCCCAGCTACTGGGGAAGCTGAGGCAGGAGGATCACTTGAGTCCAGGCAGTCGATGCTGTAGTGAACAAGACCATGCTACTGCACTCTAGCTGGGCAGCAGAGCAAGACTCCATCTAAAAAATAAACAAACAGGGTTGGCAAAGGAAATACATGCCAACTTAGGTGAAATTCAGACTGGGTGGCCTGAATGGCATCTGGAAAGCCCGAAGGCCTTGAGTAACTGGGGAATTCCCTAAGATAGAACACCTTGATCTCGTCTATGTACAATGAGCCAGAGAGGGTCTTTATCTTAAGATTTGATAAGCACATAAGGGCAGGGACTGTGCCTATCTTAATACTGAATTTTTAATTCTTGGCACAGAGACCTGTATGGGAGTCAGATTTATATCGTAATTACATTATTAGTAATTACACATGAACAGAGAACACTATCGTGTTTTACTACATGCAGGGCACTATTCTAAATATTTTATATGTATTGTTCTGCCTATTCGTTACAAGCACCCTATAAACTATCTCTCCCATTTTACAAACAAGGAAAGTAAGGCTGAGAATACGCAACTCACCTAGGAGAACTGACAGGGTCAGGCTTTGAATCCAGGCTGTCTGGTGCGTGAGCTCTCTCACAAACTCTTCCATTATATGTCTCTCTCATTTATATGAATCTATATTTTGTCACAATTCAAGAGCATCTGCTGTTAGCAAAATAAAATGCATTTTTTTGGGGTGGTGCAGTTTCCCTCTTGTTGCCTAGGCTGGAGTGTAGTGGCACAATCTTGGCTCACTGCAACCTCCGCCTTCCAGGTTGAAGTGATTTTCCTACCTCAGCCTCCCAAGTAGTTGGGATTACAGGCATCCACCATCACGCTCAGCTAATTTTTTTTTTTTTTTTTTTTTGAGACGGAGTCCAGCTCTCTCACCCAGGCTAGAGTGTAGTGGTGCAATTTTGGCTCACTGCAACCTCCGCCTCCTGGGTTCAAGCAATTCTCCTGCCTCAGCCTCCCAAGTAGCTGGGGCTACAGGCGCAGGCCACCATGCCCAGCTAATTTTTCTATTTTTAGTAGAGATGGGGTTTCACCATGTTGACCAGAATGGTCTCAATCTCTTGACCTCGTGATCAGCCCGCCTTGGCCTCCCAAAGTGCTGGGATTACAGGTGTGAGCCACAGTGCCCGGCCATTTTTTTGTATTTTTAATAGAGATGGGGTTTCACCATGTTGGCCAGGCTGGTCTTGAACTCCTGACCTCAGGTGATCCCCCCTCCTTGGCTTCCCAAAGTGCTGAGATTATAGGAGTGAGCCACTGCACCTGGCCAAATGCACTTTTTAATCTGGAAAAACGATACATTATGGTTTGTACTGGAGTACTGAAAACCAGCCAGAGTTTTAAAATATTCTTAACTGCTACACACCTTCATCAAATAATGCATTTGTATATAATTTAAATTAAACTAAATTTGGCCTGAGGCTGCCCTTGTACCTTGAGTCCCTATATAATGAATTGCGGCCTAACTTAGTACATAAGCAAACTGAAGGCCTAATTGAGGAGTATATTTTATGTAACATCTAGCTGAGTCTCAGCCAATCACAAGCTGCCAACTGATCAGACCATGCCCAGATAAGGCAAACACAGAGCTGTAACCAACTGAGTGATTCTGTATCTCACTTCCATTTCTGTCTATAAACGCCCCAGCTTAAGGACATAGCTGTCAGACCCTCTAATGGTTCTGAAGGCGGCCTGATTCTCGAATCATTCTTTGAGCAAATAAATTCTGTTAAATTTAATGTGTCAAAAGTTTTTCTTTTAATGAGGTAAAGGGCAATGTTTTGATAAGTATTAATACATATTTCTTTTACCTTTCTAAAAGCCACGACTTATGCCTAGTTGGCCCCAGACCCATTTGCCTTGGGGAAAAAAAGAGGGTTGTGTGGGACTGGGGATTTGTTGAAATACAGTGTGAATGCAGAGAAAGACAAGATAGCATTTAGAATCTGATGTGTGAAAGATAATTAAGATCTTTTTTCCAATTAACCTCCCACCCCCACCCCACCCCCTACACCTTAACATACCCAATCCTGGGTAACCCAGCTCACATAGTTCTCCTGCTGGGGAGAACAGAATTGTTATCAGAGTGAAAGCTTGAGATGTGTAGCCAGGTAATAGGAGAAACTAGAGTCTTCTGGCCCCAGGGAATTGTGAAAAGGCTTGGAGAAGGAGGCAGACCGGAATGGGTTGTGTGTGCCCACACTTGGGCCTTATTTGTCTTTGGCTCAAGGAGGGGCGAAAGAAAAAGCCAAGGACAGAGGAAGGTTCTTCTGAACCAGATACTCCTTAGGACATCAAAGAATCTCTCTGGATCAGTTCTCAGACCTGCATTGCTCAACCTGGGAGGCAGCCATGCCACATGTACTCTCACTACAGAGAGAGGCCCTGGGTGGAACGATCCTGGGCTGCCTTCGCATCCCACATCATATGGGTGCTGAGCTAAGAACCACAGAGCTTTCCGTAGGCCTGCCGTGGTGGGCTGGAAGGGATTTCAGGGCTGATGCTGGAGTTGGTGGAGGTCTTTGGGAGCAGAGGACCACCAGGATGGCAGGCTAAGTGGAGGCTGGGCTGGGACTGAGGGGTCAAAAGTAGTGAGAATTGAGTGAATTTGGG